TTCAAATGAAAACTGAAAATATTAAAATAAATGCTAATTCATGTCCTTTAATATCACCTAAGATTCAACTGCCAGCATCCACCGCAGCTGGTCTGAGTCCGTCTGACAGCTCCGACTTCACGTCTGACGATGAGCTGAAGAAGAGCGACTCCTGTGACTCCTGCCCTGAGACTGAAGAGCAGCAGAGCAGCAGCTGGAGCTCCAGACGAGCCGAAGGGCCGACGGCAAACCCTGACGAACCGTACTCCAAAGACACCTCTGCACCTTCCAGCTCCAGCAGGTCCTCAGATGCCCCCGCCGCCGCTGCGGATGACAGCTCTAACTCAGGAAAAGATGCAACCAAGCCAGAGGAACCTTAGCTAAGCACAGCACCTTCTCTGGAGGAAGATATCAGCTCGAGGCCGGGGTCGCCGGTTTCTGCTGGGTCTGTGATGTCGTTGTACATTTACTGTCCTGTGATGTTGTTTGGAGATGTTGTCTTATATGTTGCAGGGCAGAAATAAGCGTTCCCTCCAGCAAACACAAGAGGGCAGACTAAATTGTTTGTGCCTGTTCTGTGTAGTCATTCTATTCATATTCTTCTTCTCCTAAACCTGAAACACTAAGAAATAATCTTATATATACATGCACAATATTAATTGATTCATATCGATTTTTTTCAGAATCAACCAGGGTTTGGTGCACAATAGAACAACAGCAATTCTGGTTCTTACTGGATTTATTGGAGCAGATCCTCTTTACATTTTCTAGTGCTCTGTTCCGAACTCTAGTTGAGCATCGTAAGCTATGTTTCTGTCCAAAGTTGCAAATTTAACTTGAAATGTCACATAAAACATTCACAAATAAAGCACTGTTTCCATCCAGTGTGACAAAGAGAACAAAATCGTCACTTCCTGATAAACTGGCGCCAAATATCACTAAGAAAAAGGTAATTTTCTGCAGTGGGAGAAGCCTCTGTGGGTCTTTTTTGTATATGATAAATTACTTGTGCCTCAGAGCATGCAGACAAAATGCAATGAACGCAGTCATGTTATATTGCATTTGAAGGCAATGCAATTGTGAAAAATTCTGATAGGTTATTATACCGAACCACTTTGACGACATATTTTGGTTCAGGTATTTCAGAATGACTAAAACAACATTTCAGATGCTGTGCAATGAGATCGGTCACATGACTTTTTTTGATGCGCATCAATTAATTTATTTTGTAAATGTGTCTCAATCGTAGCTTATGTGTATAAAAATGTACCTGCTTCAATTGAGCGTGTACGTTTTTATGCACATTTTTGGAATTGATGCGCATCTTGGCATTTCCAGCCTGTGTTTTTAATGCGATATCCCAAAATGCGCATAAAAATAGGTGGATGGAAACATAGCTATAGATACACTCCAGACTCCTAGATTTGATGCTGTCTGGAACGATATCTCGCTTTGGCAAAGCATCGCACCCCTCAAAGAAAAGAGCAATCCCAGAATGCACTGTGAGAAATACTGAGAAATATTTTTACAAATCTGAAAAATAGCTCTGTCTCATTGACTATTTCAGGCAATAATTATGTGTGCTGCATAAAATTGCTACATCAGAGTAACCTGACTCTATCTGAGGCAATCAGCTGCAAGCATTAGTCAGGTTGCCCATGGGATGTGGTGCATTAACAGACTTACATTTCGCTTAGGATGCTGCTTTGTTAGGTAGAAAGTAGAGAGCGAGGCAGGATTTGGAGCAGAGCTCACGACTTTAAAGTGACGTCGAGAATACCCTGCTAAAGGTGACATGCTGTTGTCAGCACAGTGAAAGGGGTTTGATAATATTCACATGCTCTGAAAATGCAAATATGTACTCTCCTCAGGTTCTTGAAAGGCAGACACACATAAAGGGATGACTCTTAGCTAACGCAGCTCTCGGTTAAGTACAGTTTGTATATTATTCATGTTGATTACCGTCTTAACCAACTGTTAGCGTTTTACGATATTATAGGACAATGATGAAATCTATTGCTCTCAAAGTAGTGACTGCTGTGCCGTCATGTTCCTGTGGTAAATGTTCTCGAAAATAATTGCAAAGTAATGTCCAGCTCTTTGACCTGCTAGTTTAAAGTCAACATGAAATGCAGTTCACAAACCAAATTTGCATCATGTATTTCAGAATGAAACTGGAAAGTCAAGGAAAGAAATGCAGGGCGTTATCGTCTGGTGCTTTGTGACATCAACCGAAAAAGAAATGTATATCAGACGTGGAGCACGTAATTACATTTTTATGGAAGAATATAAAGACAAACATTTTTTAATGTAACGTTCATGACTCCTGGGGCGCTTCACACAAAATACGTTTTTGTGTTAAAAAACATCAAGATGCAAGACAGTGGAATGAAAGAAAATGGTGTACAGAAGCATTTTTAATAGCTGAACATCTTTGGTGCCATGTTTTTAGAATGCTGTGTCATATGTGAGACACTGCAAAAGATGTGAGCGCAATGGTCAAAAACATCCATTTGGTGCATCTTTACATAGAAAAACAATGGAAAAGAAGTGCAGTAGAATGCAAAAACATGTTCTTTGTGAACGATCCTTTAAGGTCTGTTCAAATTAACTTTTTATTACACTTGCAAGAACACAAAGACACACATTTATTTAATGTATAGTTCACCAGTGACTCCTGCACTATAAGGGTCAGTTCACACAGAACGTGTTTTTGCATTTAAAAAAACAAAGTCTAGAGCCACACATTTTTTTAAAAGTTAAACAACTTTTAATTTGAGTGCTGTGTTTTTAGAATGCCGTGTCATGCATGAGACACTGCAAAAGATGCGAGCACAATGGTCAGAAACATCCGTGCATTTTTACATACAAAAATAATGGACAGTGGGATGCTAAAACGCATTCTGTGTGAACAGCCCTCTTTTGGAACTTTCTACAAACCTTTTAATACAATTTGATGGAAGAATACAAAGACAAAAACATTTTATTTTTTTTAAATGTTGCATTCACCAGTGACTTTGCACTATAAGGGCTGGTTCACAAAACGTGGTTCTGTTTTTTAAAGCAGTGGAATGAGAAATAAAAACGCAAGGTCTGGAGACATGAATAACTTCTAACTTGAGTGCTATGGGTTTAGAATGCTAAAAAAAGATATGAGATGCAAGATGCAAATGCATTGGTCAGAAATGTCAGTCTAGTGCAAGTTTATGTAGAAAAAACATTGGAAAAGAAGTGCAGTGGAATGCAAAACGCATTCTGTGTGAACGGCCCCTTAAGGTGCGTTCATGCTTAAATCGCTGGAGCTGCCAAATTGCTGTGCTGTTAGATGCTAGGCATTCCTGTATTATCCAACTGTAACAGACATTGCAACGTAATGTTGCTGCATATTTGCATAAAGTTAAATTGTGCTCAACTTTGTTGCATAGACAGTGTTTTCACCAAGACTTTAAAATGCTTTGTCGGTGCAAAACACTGTCAACACCTCTATAAACCAGAAATGTGCTTTAAGAAAGCAAACAGCATCAGTTTTGATTTCATGTTGACTTTAAACGATGATTGCATGGTTTCTATCTGATCTTTAGTCTGATTTGTGTCAAGTATTGTATCATGACTGTACTTGTGGTAGGAATCCTAGTGTATGTGTTGTCTAGGGCTTTCTAGGATTGATCCTACATGGTAAGATCTCTCGTCTCCTCTACATCTCTTCCCCTTTCTCTGTATTTCCTCTCCTCTCTCATTCCTCATCTTGTCTTTTGTCTCCAATTCGACCCCTCCAGGGTCACGGTATCTGTTTTGACGTCGTCTACAGGGCTCTACTAAGTGCTCCGATATCGTAGTCTATTGGATTAGTAGTTCGTAACCCATAGAAAATTTTGTACCATGACTACTTAGCCTTAGGACACGTGGCGTGCCGTCTCACTGTTTACATGGTTAGCTGAGTGAGAGTATAAGCGTGTCAGTGTATATGTTTTTTGCATGAACATGTCATGGATATTCACAGTATCGTGCGGCCTGCCACGTTTCAATATTGTAGAGGTGTCGAGAAGTGTCACTTCTAGAGAAAATATGGGCGATGGAAGACATTAAAAATAGATGCTCTTTTACATTCAACACATTTTTAAACAAATCTTTGTAGTTTGCTGTTGGAATATCTTTGGAAATCACAATCAGGCATTCTGGAACAAGATACTTTTAATCAGAAATACAGTAAGAGAAAATGGCATTTTGACAAAACTGGAAGCAACTTCATTCTTGATATTTGTAATGTGTTTTAGGTAGGTAATCTCTATTTTCTGTAGGACCCACACGGCACACTTCTCATGTCTGATCCTGTGTATGTTTTAACATGGTTCATGTAAAGCACAGAAAGTGTGTCTCGTGTCATGTTTATTAGTGGTGCTTGCTAATGCAATGCTTACTATTATTAACTGCTCATATTTAAGGTTAGGATTTTGAACAAACCCTTGGACGTAATTGTTAGACTATGGTACAGAACTAAGTTCACACTCTTTGAAAACGAATGGTACCTCCAATTATTATTGAGAAGATATGTGCTATAAATTTTTTTAATGATCAGACTCTATTATCAATCATAATAGAGCATCATAGCAAAGGCCAAGCATCCACAACACCGTGAGTTTTGCACAGGCAGGCACCACTTACATTTTCTTCAAACCTAGTTTCATTAGCAACACTACAAGTTGCCAAAAAGAAACCAAAACCAGGATCAGGCCTGTTAATACTCATTATATTTTTATACTCCATTAGCCATACAAAATTTGAAAGCTAATATGAATAAGATGCAGTATTGGAAAATGTTCCTTTCAAAGCCAAATAAATGTTTTGCAAGTGCGAGTGTTTGATACTTTGAATAATTTTGGTTGTCACAAAATTTTAAAAAAATTATTATTATTTTATTCTGAAAAAAATTAATATATAAGCATGCAAAGGGAATGTTATTGGATGAAAAGATTATTATTAGATGAAATGTGGGTATATAGATCCAGTATGTAGAACAGATGACAATCAGTGCCAAAACAGAAAAGAGACTTTATTTAAGATTATATTTATTTTCTTATTCATGATATTATGTGCATGTCAGATTCTGCTGGTCAGCGTGTTTAGAAATCATTATGGTGATTTATGATTATATTGAGAACATGAATTTATCATTTTATTTTCCTTTAAGATTTTTCAGTTCTGCATCTTTATTGTTCATTAAAGCAAATGTCACTCGCCGTTTGCTTTATATTCACCTTGATTATAATGTTTTTTGGACTTGTATTGAGAAGAATGTACTGATTTGGTAGGCTTGTGAATCGTTTTTCTTGGTTGTTGTTGTATAATGGTGTCTTACCTTAGACCACTGTCAAACATCGGTGTCAAAATGAAAATAAATCCTTTTGAAAGTGGAATATTGTTATTACTATTTCATGAAGAAAATGTATAGCCTACACTACAGGTCAAAAGTTTGGGCTCAATTATTAAAAAAAAAAAAAAAATTAAATACTTTCATTCAGCAAGGATGCATTTAATTGATCAAAAGTGACAGTAAATATATTTATAATGTTACAAAAGGTTTCTATTGTAAATAAATGCTGATCTTTTGAACTTTCTATTCATCAAAGAATCCTGAAAAAGTATCATGGTTCTGAAGGATCACGTGACACTGAAGACTGGAGGAATGATGCTGAAAATTCAGCTTTAATCACAGTTTAAAGTATGTGACCCTGCAGCACAAAAGCAGTCTCAAGTCGCTGGGGGATATTTGTAGCAATAGCCAACAATACACTGTATGGGTCAAAATTATCCATTTTTCTTTTATGCCAAA